AGATTGAATTCTATTTCCAACTGAGTGTGTATGTTATGCCCTCTTTGAGCCAATTTTGATGATAGTAATGTTTAAGTTTTGCCTGCCACCCATCCCATATCTTCCCCTCCGTTATAATAGCTCTTCAATGCTTCTTTGAGGTGGGATAATTTACCCCATTCAATCTTCCCCCTCCTTCTTCCAGTGCAATTTTCTTTCTCACTCCTTTATTTTATTTTTTGGGTATCATCCCATCAAAGTCACCTTATATCCATACCCTCTGTCTACATATACTCCTTCTAATTGCTCTTACAGTAATAAAGCTATTAAGAGTTACAAATATTATCCTGCCATATAGAAATATAAACAGTTTCACTATTGAATTTCTTATATTTTTTTCTTTCTTCTTTTATACCTTTTTGTGTTTCCCTTGATTCTTGTATTCAGAAGTCAAAATTTTTATAAAGCTCTGGCCTTTTAATTATAAATGCTTAAAAGTCTTCTATTTTGTTAAATATCCATTTTCTTCCTGAAAGATTATATTTAATTTTGCTGGATAAGTGATTCTGGGTTGTAATCCTAACTCCTTTGCTTTCCAGTATATCATATTCCAAGCCCTCCCATTCTTTAATGTAGAGACTGCCAAACCCTTATCAGAAAGTATAAAGGTGGGGCAGGGCGGGGAAGTCAGGTGGTAAACTTGAATCTGCTTCTTTCTGAAAGGTGAAAGAATGAAAGTCACAGAACCCAGGGACGGGAATAAAAAAGAAGACAAGAAAAGAAGATTTGGGCAAGGGCCAATTCTTGTTGTTTTTGTTGTTCAGTCATGTCCAACTCTTCATGACCCCATTTAGGGTTTTCTTGGCAAAGTTACTGAAGTAGTTTATCATTTCCTTCTTTAGCTCATTTTATAGATGAAGAAATGAGGCAAATTTAAGTGACTTGCCTAGTGTCACACAGCTAATTAGTGTCTGAGTAAGGACTTGAAGGAAGGTCTTCCTGACTTCAGGACCCACGCTCTATTCACTGAGCCATTTAGCTTCCTCCAGGGCTAATTTTGTAGACAGGTTGAAGAACAGTGTGAGTGAATAGGAGAAACCTAAGAAAGGTCAGGACCTACCTCCATATTCATTTTCATTGAAAACTAGTTTTGGACATTACCTTTTTTGTTTTGTTTTGTTAATTTCCCTTTATGTTTCCTTGTAGTTTTTGTTTGTTTGTTTTGGTCCAGATTCATTCTTTAAACAGAACAGAATTTTAAACAACAGAAAACTCCTGGGAGAGAGACCTCCTCTACCAATAGAGATCTGTCCGTTATGCAACATATAGTCTTTAAAAGTTGCCTGGGGTCACTAAGAGTTTTAGGAACATGTTTATGATAACACAACCAGCATGTGTCAAAGGCAGAACTTGACCGAAGATCTTCCTGACTCAGAGACCAGCTGTCTCTCCATTACAATATTAACAATACAAGCCCTTAAGAAATCTCAAAGATGGGAAATAACTAAGTAAGGGAGAAATTGGAAATTGTCCTCCCTTTCTTCAGGACAACTGGACAAGAGGAACATAGGCCACAATTGAAGTAGTGAAAATAATTACCAAGAGGGGGTGGGGAAAGGCTGGGAACAAGCTGCATTTAGAGACACAAGCAAATAAAGAGTGGAGAACCGGCGTGGCATTGAGAAGAATAGCCAGAAGTTAAACACTTGACCTTCATAAATTTTCACTTGTCCCTACCCCTTGAGGAAGCAGCTCTCACAAGTACTAGAACAGGGCCTTTCTGTGTCACTATCATGGTCCCAGGACATGCCAAAAGAAGCAACATAAAAAGAAAGAGAAGAAGGATATGAAACATGTTCTCTAGGCTTTTTTTGAAAACGTAGAGTTGTCCCTTTGGCTAAAAGTAGGCACTGGCTATGTATATGCAAACCTACAAAAAGAATAATATCATAGATATCAAGGGTATTGGTACAGTTCAGTAAGGAATGCTCCCATTATATCCACGGGAAGACAAGAAATGTCCTTAATATTATTCAACATGCTGTGGGCATGATTGTCAGCAAAAAAGGTTAAGAGTCTAGCCAAGAGAATATAAATATTGAATATATTAAGCATTCTAACAACAAGAGTAGCTTTCTGCAGCACATGAAGGAAAATGATTAGAAGAAAAAGGAAACCCAAAGTGAAAAGCAGCTGACTTCAGCTAATGTGTCAGCCTGCTTCATAAAGGGAAACATGTTTGAGGTGGAACCAATGTCAAGAAGCCAGAGTTGTTAGAACCAATACCCTATGAGTTCATATATAAACACCTATAACACAAATAACCAAGATGTCTGGGTTGCGGGGGAAAAAGACATGTAGTAGAGCAGAGAGGAGACAAACACTGACAGGAAGGAAAATGCCAATATGCCACTTAATATGAGTCTGGATGCCATCTTCGGCGGTCATGCTGTCATTACAGTACCCTGCTGTGAAATAAAAGATACAAGTACAATAGAAAGAGGGAGGGAGGAGACAAGGATTTTTTAAAGTACTTACTATGTGCTAGGCATAGTGCTAAGTGCTTTACAATTATTATTTTATTTGAGACTCACAATAGCCCTTGAGGTGGGTGATATGATTATTTCCACTTTACAGTTGAGGAAACTGAGGCAGACAGCGGTCATGTGACTTTCCCAGGGTCACACAGCTAGAACGTATCTGAGGCTGATCTGGAACTCTGATCTTGCTGACACTGAGCCCAGTGCTCTATCCACTGTACCATCTAGCTGTACTTGGACTTTTGATGTAGGATTGAGGCCTGGTTCTACCAGTCACCAAAAATTTGTAAAAATGCATTTTGAACTTAGGTTCAAAATTTCATAACAACTTGATTTTATGAAATTATTTTAGGCAGCCTACAAGGCCTATGCAGTGCCCTAATATATCCCAAAGAGAGAACTGTGTGGTACAGTGGAAAGAGATTTGACTCTGAATCAGAGGAACTTGGTTCAACTCCTACCTCTAGACCTAGGTCAAGTCACTCAAACTTTCTGGGTCTCGGTTACCTTCTCTGTAAAATTAGGGAGCTAGTCTAGTTGGCTTCTAAGGACCCTTCTAGCTACAGATCTCTGCTCTCCAAATGATGCAGTTGGATGTCTGCTTTCGATGATGTGAAGGGGGGAAAAAAGAGCCACGTCTTTACATTGTTATTTAACAACGGCCATATTGGAGCCAGGCTCAAAATGAGCTGCTGTTTGAGTAGTCACAACAATGGCTTATATTTACCTAGCACTGACATGGTTCAAAACTCTAAATAACTGATTAAATTCTCCCAACAATCCTGCCAAGAAGGTCATACTAGAATTAGTCTTCTGGCTCTACATATGAGGAAACACCCTGAGAAAAAATAGGCAACTTTTACCAATATGACACCTAGAATAGTAATAATAGCAACTAACATTTATATCTGTAAAATGAGCTGGAGAAGGAAATGGCAAACCATTCCATTATCTTTGCCAAGAAAACCCCAAATAGGGTCACAGATGCAACAGAAACAATTGAACATTTATTTACTGCATTTATTATATATTTCTTATGTGCAAAGAACTGTGCTTTTAAAAGGAAGAGATAAGAGTAAGGGCCTCGAGGAGGCACAGGGGATAGATAGATTGCCAGGCCTGAAGTCAGGAAGACTCATCTTCATGAGTTAAATATCTAGCCCCAGATGCTTAGTAGCTATGTGACCCTGGGCAAGTCAGTCAACCCTGTTTGCTTCAGTTCCCTCATCTGTAAATAAAATAAGCTAGAGAAGGAAATGGCAATCCACTCCAGTGTCTTTGCTAAGAAAACCCCAAATACGGTCATGAAGAGTCAGACATAACTGAAACGACTGAACAACAAAAATGTGCCAAGCACTGCACTAAGCACTTTACAATTATTATCACATTTGATCCTCACAACAACCTTGGGAAATAGGTGCTGTTATTTTAATGGATGAGGAAACTGAGGCAAACAGAGGTTAAGAGACTTGCTCAGGGTCACACAGCTAATAAGTGTGTGAGGCCAAATTTGAACTCAAGTTTCCATGACTCCAGGCCCAATCACTGAGCAACCTGGCTGCCCCTAGTAAGTGTCAGAACCCCTTCCTATCTTTGCTTTTTCCACCAAACCACTCTGAATTCCACACCCTTGGGACCAAAAATATCTTTTCATAAAAGTTCTTGTTAACTAGCCCCATGCTAGGACATATGACTTCTCTCCTTTGGGCGGCAGATAAGTGCACCTGGTATAACCTGCCCCATACTCTGAGGTCTGGTAAAACTCTCTGTAAGGACTATTGACTGTCAGCCAGCGAGTGACCAGAATTAGTAGTTCCAGCGGGCCTTTACTGATAAATGGGCAGCACAGAGAATTTGAATTAGAGCTCTGAGCTGCAAGGGTAGGAATCTGCCCTAATTTCTGGTTCTGAGCTGTCAGCAGGGAGGCACACTAACCATGTTCTGGGTGGTGGTTGTATATCACCTACACCTTAAGGAAATGGGAGAAACTTTCAGGACTGTACCTTTGTTTTGTGCACACAGGTGGCCTCTGCCTCAAGCCATGAAAACTGGTATAAGGGAAAATAAAGAAACTTTTGGTACTACCTCTGGTAGATAGCTTATTCACCTCCATTTACAAAAAATTTTGAACATCAAAAATATCAATTAAGGCAAACACTTCCAAATGCATAACAGAACAAGAGGCTGTACAGGAAACTACAAATCTCTATTATAGACATAGCTTTTTGAGCAAAAGAGATTTTCCCTTCCCAACCTCACCTCCCTAACTTTAACTTGAAAGGGACAGGGGAGGGAGAGAAGAGACAGAGACAGAGAGAGTGCAACACAGAGACAGTGAAACAGTAAAACCTTAGTTCTTCAAAGAAGAAAAATTTTTGTCAAATTTTGCCATCTTTAAATATTTCCTCCTGCACACCTTTGTGCAGCCAAATTTTTATTAAATGCTAACACTCCAGAAGGAAAACGAAGTGTCCAGTTTACCTTCCAACTAAATCTTCGATGTCTTTTATAAACAATCCTCCTTGGTGTTTGCACATGTTCTTGCATGCCCGAAGGTGGTTTTTATCTTTATATAAGATGTAGTTTTTGCCACTGCTCTTATTCCGAAAAAAATTGATTCCTTCTTTAAGCCCACCAACCTCCAGCGGTGTTAGGGACAACAGGATCTCTGCAGCCTGCTCCTTGCTATTGAGAGAGATGAATTGTAAATGATGGAGTGGAGGGAGAGATGAATAATGTTAAGGTTTGGGGTATTAAAGGTTGGATGAAAGCCTTAACAGCTAAGAACTCAGATTTTGGACTCTTCCCTTAACTACCACCACTACCACCACTACCAGCACCACCACTAAAACTTTTCCCTTCCAAATACCTACGAATGAAAGCTTCCCTCTCTGACACATACACATAAACACACATACAAATACACACACACATACACACTATCTGCTTCATAAAACATATATTATTCTAAGAGACAAGATCTCATCTTACAAAAGGAAGAGTTCTCCTGTTTTCAGTGACTTTCATCTAAGTATTCAAAGATAGACCCTACTCAACTCTGCTGAATGCCCCTCACCACTCTTCTATACCCTGTGTCCTTCATCCATGCTTACTTGTCCATTGCCTCCAAGTTGGCTCTTCTCTTTTTCTTTCAAGTGAATAACTGTTCTATGTTGCCACCGATGACTATGTAGTTTTAAGATATCCGTGTGTTTGTGGCTGAAATAGATAAAGCATACTGTATTATCATTCCCACACATGCTGTGGCACTCCTAACGCTTTTATTTCGAGAGCTTACAATTAACTTTCAGTTTCTTTCTCTTCATTTTCCTCAAGGCAATTACAGAGTAAATAATCCTGGGACTACAACTTCTGTGAGCAGCCCTTTCCAGGGAAAAAACCTATGACAGCATTAAGTCACTTTTATATGGACAACAGAAATCTCTGAGAATCATTCTGAACTTAACCTGAGTCTCTGATTAATGGAACTACCAAGTATTTGCCATAATTAGGGAATGAGTTAGCATGTATCTTGATTATCTGATTTTTAGAGCCCAAAAGAGATAAAATCACCTTCAAAATAAACCTTGCTGTCATTTTCACTTTTATCTTTAGAAATTCTGCTGTTTCCTTAACAAAGGCTTTTCAAAAATGGTGGTAAAATCAATGTATCTGTTTGGGTTCCGTGGTAGAAATGTACTTCCTCTTTCAATGGTTAGAGATACATGTGAACAGCCAAGAATAATTTCTTTCTTCAAAATAGATTTTCATTGCTGTTGCTGCATGATCCAGAAAACAACGTACTTGAAACATTATTTGACCACTGTCTGAAAAAAATACTGTGAAGTTCAAGACTACTTCTTAATTTTGGCCCTAATATACTGAGCCAAGGGAAGTGAAACACCCAGGTGATTTCCATATGAACTAATTCCCCAAAATGCTTTGCTTTAGTTGCCTGGCTAACACAGCAGCAGCTGCAGAAGCAGCTTTTGATAAATGCTTCTCTGTGTCAAAAACCAAGAAAAATAAGGTCATGCTTCCTTTTTCATGCTACCATTTGTCATCTGAAACAGGAATTAATAATTTATGATAAGGTCTCAATCTACACCCAACTTTATACTTTACTGGTAGAAATTTGGACAGTAATCAACCAATCACGAGAATGGCTTTCTCAAAATTTATTTATTTATTTATTTAAAACACATTTCTTTTTAAATTTTGAGTTCCAAATTCTTTCCCTTTATCACACCCCTCCCCCATCTACTGAGAAGGCAAACAATATATCAATTATGCATATAAAATCATGAAAAACATATTTCCATATTAGCCAATGACAAAAAAAAGCTGAAAGAAAGGAAGAGAGAAAATTATACTTCAATTTGCACTCCGAGTTCATTAGTTCTTTCACTGGAGGTAAATAACACATTTTCATGATGTATACTTTGGAATTGTCTTAGATCATTGTATTGATCAGAGTAACTAAGTCTTTCACAGTTGATCATCATTACAATATTGCTGTTATATGCATAATGATCTCCCAGTTCTTCTCACTTCACTTTGAATCAGTTCACACAGGTCTTGCCATGTTTTTCTGAAACCACCTCCCCTCATCATTTCTTATAGCACAATAGTATTTCATCACAACCATACGCTACAACTTGTTCTGTCATTCCCCAATTGATGAGCATCTCCCTCAATTTCCAATTCTTTGCTAATACAAAAAGAGCTGCCATAAATATTTTTTTTTGCACATATAGGTCTTTTTCCTTTTTCTTTGATCTGGATATAGACCTAAGTGTGATATTTCTGGGTCAAAGAGTATGCACAGTTTGATAGCCTTTTGGGTATAGTTCCAAATTATTCTCCCTAATAGTCGGACCAGTTCACAATTCCACCAGCAGTATATTAGTATGCCTATTTTCCCTCATATTCTCCAGCATTTGTCATTTCTGGTGTGAGGTAGTAGCTCAGAGTTGTTTTCATTTGCCTTTCTCTAATCAAAGTGATTTAGAACATTTCTCCATATGATTATAGATAGCTTTGATTTCTTCTTCTGAAAAATGTCTATTTATGTCCTCTAACTGTTTATCAATTGGGAAATGGCTGTTATGTTTACAAATTTGACTCAGTTTCCCACATATTTAAGAAATAAGGCCTTTATCAGAGAAACTTGCTGTAAAAATTTTTTTTATATTACTTCATTGTCTATGGTACTTTTTAGCAAAATGTAGTTTCCCTAATTATTTCTTTTAATTAGGTCTCTTCTTGCTTTTGCTGTGTTTGAGATCATGATTGCTACCTTTGCCTTTTTAACTTCAGCTGAATGAAGCATAATAGATTCTACTCCAGCCCTTTATTTTAATCTATCTGTGTCTTTCTGTTTCAAGTGTGTCCCTTGCAAACAATGTATTGTTTGATTCTGGTTTCTAATCCATTCTGCTATCTGCTTCTATTTCATGTTTCACATTTATGATTATTGTGTATTTACCTCCATCCTATTTTCTTCTGTTAATCCTTCTTTCTTTTTATCCTGCCCCTCCTCAAAAGTCTGTTTTGCTCCTGATCACTGCCTCCTTTAATCTGCTTTCCCTTTTATTATTCCTGCCCCCGTATGTCTTATTCTCTCCCCTATTTCCCCATTATGCCCAACTATACCAACTCAATATGAATATATATTCGTCCCTCTTTGAACCAATTCTGATGAGAATAAGGTTCAAGCATTGCCTACCACCTGCCCCTCCATCTTCCCCTCCATTATAAAAGCTCTTCATTGCATGCCTCTTTTATATGAGAAAAATTTAACTTCATTCTATCTCTCCTGTCCCCCTTCTCCCAATGCATCCTTCTTTCTCACCCCATCATTTTTTTTATGTGTCAACTTAGTTAACTCACATCCATGCCCTCTATATAAACTCCTTCTAACTGACCTAATACTGTTATAAAATTCTTAGGAGTCACATGTATCATCTTCCCACATAGGAATGTAAACAATTTAACTTTATTGAATCTTCCATGTTTCACTTTTCACATTTCTCCTGAGTCTTGTGAGTGAATATCAAATTTTCTATTCAGTTTTGATCTTTAAATGCTTAAAAATCCTCTATTTCATTAATATCCATTTTCCCTCCTGAAGGATTATATTCAGTTTTGCTGAATAGGTTATTCTTGGCTGTAATCTTAGCTACTTTGCCTTTCAGGATAGCATATTCTAAGCCTTCTCCTCCTTTAATGTGAAAATTGCTAAATCATCTGTGATCCTGACTGTGAATCATTGATATTTGAATTATTTCTTTCTGGCTGTTTACAGTATTTTCTCCTTAACCTGGGAGCTAAAAAATTTGGCTATCATATTCCCAGGAACCTTTATTTTAGGTGATCAGTGGATTCTTTCAATTTCTGTTTGACCCTCTGGATCTAAGATTCTAGTGAATTTTTCTTTGATAATTTCTTGAAATATGATATCTAGGCTCTTTTTTTTAATCATAGTTTTCAAGTGGTCCAATAATTCTTAAATAATCTCTCCTCTATTTCAAGGTCAGCTGTTTTTCCAATGAGATATTTCCTGTTTTCTTCTATCTTTTCATTCTTTTGACTTTTGTTGTTTCTTGATGTCTCATGGAATCATTAGTTTTGACTTGCTCAATTCTAATTTTTCATATCCTTTTTAAAAAATAGTATTTAATCTTTCCCCAGTTACATATCAAGACAATTTTTAGCATTCATTTTTACAAGATTTTGAGTTCCAAATTTTTCTCCCTTCCTTTCTTCCCTCCCCTCTTCCAAAAATGGTAGGCAATTTGATATAGGTTATATATGTGCTATCATGTAAAACATATTTCCATATCAGTCAAGATGTGAAAGAAGAAATGGATCAAAAGGGGAAGAAATACAAAAAAGAATAAAGTAAGTGAAAAAAAATGCTTCAATCTACATTCAGAGTCCATCAGTTCTTTATCTGGATGTGGATAGAATTTTCCTTCGTGAGTTCTTTGTACTTACGGATCATTATGTTGTTGAGAAGAGCTTAGTCATTCATAGTTGATTATCACATGGTGTTGCTGATACTGTGTACAATGTTTTCCTGATTCTGCTCATTTCACTTTGTATCCGTTCATACACATCTTTCCAGGTTTTTCTGAAATCTGCCTTTTCTTCATTTTTTATCACATGATAATATTACATTACAATCATGTGCCACAGTTGGTTCAGCCATTCCCCAGTTGATGGACATCTCCTCAATTTCCAATATTTTGGCATCATAAAAAGGCTGCTTCAAATATTTTTGCACACATAGGTTCTTTTCCCTTTTTTATGACCTCTTTGGGGTATAGACCTAGTAGTGCTATTGCTGGATCAAAGGATATGCACAGTTTGATAGCCCTTTGTCACTCTTTATGTCTAAATCATGCACCCATTTTATCTTGGTATATGGTGTCAGATGTTAGTCTATACCTAGTTTCTGCCGTACTGTTTTCCAATTTTCACAGAAGTTTTTGTCAAATAGTAAGTTCTTATCTCAAAAGTTGGGATCTTTGGATTTATCAAACACTAGGTTACTATGGTCATTGACTAGTGTGTCTTGCGTACCTAATCTATTCCACTGATCCACAACTCTATTTCTTAGCCAGTATCAAAGTTTTGATGATTACTGCTTTATAACGTAGTTTGAGATATGGTATTGCTAGGCCACCTTCTTTTATATATTTTTTCATTAATTTCCTTGATATTCTTGACCTTTTGTACTTTCAGATGAATTTTGTTATTATTTTTTATAGCTCTATCAAATAATTTTTTGGTGTTTTGATTAGTATGGCACTGAATAAGTAAATTAGTTTAGGCAGAATGGTCATTTTTATTATATTAGCGCAGCCTACCCAGGAGCAATTGATATTTTTCCACCTGTTTAGATCTGACTTTATTGGTGTGAAAAGTGTTTTATAATCATGTTTCTATAGTTCCTGGGTTTGTCTTGGCAGGTAGACTCTTGGTGACACCATAAGCAAATTAGAAGAGCAAGGGAATAGTCTATCTGTCAGATCTATGAGGAGGGGAATAACTCATAACCAAACAAGAGGTAGAGAGCATTACAAAATATAAAAGAGAATTTTGATTATATTAAGTTAAACAGCTTTTGTGCAAACAAAACCAAATATAGCCAAGATTAGAAAGAAAACAGAAAGCTGGGAAACAATCTTTACAGCAAATGGCTCTGATAAAGGCCTCATTTCTCAAATATAGAGAGAACTGAGTCAAATTTATAAGAATGCAAGCCATTCTCCAATTGATAAATGGTCAAAGGATTTGAACAGACAGTTATCAGATGAAGAAACCAAAGGTATCTATAGGCCTATGAAGAAGTGCTCTAAGTCACTTTTGATTAGAGAAATGCAAATTAAAAGAACTCTGAGGTACCTCCTCATACCTATCAGATTGGCTAATATGACAAAAAAAGGGAAATGAAAAATGTTGGAGAAGATAAGGGAAAAACCATTCTGGAGAACAATTTGGACTATGCCCAAAGGGCTATCAAACTGTGCCTACTCTTCAATCCAGCAATACCACTACTAGATCTGTATCTCAAAGAGTAAAAAAAGAAAAAAGCGAGGGGAAGGGGAGGGAAAAGACCTATTTGTATAAAAATATTTATAGCAGCTCCTTTTATGGTGGCAAAGAATTGGAAATTGAGAGCATGCTCATCAATTGGGGAATAGCTAAACAAGTTGTAGCGTAAGTGATTGTAATGGAATACTATTATGCTTTAAGCAATGATGGCTGATTTCAGAAAAACTTGGAATTACACAAAATGATACAAAGAGAACTAGGAGAACATTGTACACAGTAAAAGCAACTGTGAATGACTTAATTATTCTCAGCAATATACTGATCCAAGACACTTCCAAAAGATTCATGATGAAAAATGCTATCCACATACAGAGAAAGAACTGATAGAGTCTGAACGTAAATTGAAGCATACTATTTTTCACTTTATTTTTCCCATTTTTTTTCTTTTGGTCTGTCTTCTTTCACAACATGACTAATATGGAAATATGTTTCACATGATTGCATACATATAATATTTATCAAATTGCTTACTGTCTCAGAGAGGGAGGATTTTGGTGAGGGAAGTAGAAAATTTGGAACTCAAAATTTTAAGAAAATGAACGTTAAAAATTGTCTTTACATGTAAACAGGGGAAAAAATAAAATATAATTTTTAAAGTCATCTATACTTTTTTTTTTGCCTCTAAATCCTGCCTTTCACTCACTTTCTCAACCAGTTGCATTCTAGATGTTGAGTCTACCACTTGATTGAAACTGATTTCTTCAAGGTTATGAATCATTAATAAATTCCTAAATCTGATTACCTTTTCTCAGACCTCATCCTACTTTGCCTCTCTAGAGCTTTTGGTATTGTTAACTATTCCTACTTCCTGGAATACTCTTTCCCCCTATGACTTTTGAGACATCTCTCTCCTGGTTCTTCACCTACCTGTCTGACTACTCTTTCTTAATTTTTGTTCAGCATTATCATAAATTTATAACCCACTCCTTAACAAAACCTAAGATTCTATCCTGGGCCCCCTTTTTCTCTTTTCTCACTATACTCTCTCTCCCATCTAACCCCTCTAAGATTACCTTCCATTTACTTGGTATTTATCTTGTATATTATATGTAATGTGTGTGTGCCTGTGTGTGTGTGTATGTGTGCGTGTAATGGTCTCCCCCATTACAGCGTAATCTCTTGAGGGCAAGTACTTCCTTTTTCCTTTTTTTCTTTTATTCTTTTACACTTTTTTCTTTTTATACCCACAGTGTAGCACAGTGTCTGGCATATAATAAGTGCTTTGAAATACTTATTGACCAATTGTTTCAATGTTGAAAGACTTGAGCTTAGAGATAATGAAGCAATACCTCACTAGTCTGAGGGACCTATTCCTAGAACTCAAATCAGGAATAGTTGCCTAATCAGTAAGTTGCAAAAAGAGAATGAAAATCTATCTATCTCATCTATCCTTTTCCCCCTCCTCTCCTTTAAGTATGAGTCTTGGAACTCAACAGCTCTCCCTTGGAATTTTAGCAACTTCTAGTTCCAATGGCAGCTATGAACACATGACTATGAATAATGTGTTTGCTGAGTGAGGCTGAAACCAGATCTCAAGGGCAGGCTGGCTGCATCAAGGTGACTAAACAGCAACCCTGAGAGATAATTGTTTCTTGTCTTGGCAGCTACCTTGTGAGTTCCAAAGTTTCTGAGTAAGTTCCTACTGCTTAGCAGCAACTATATCACCTCCTAGAGGTATCCAAGAAGATGCTGAAGCTGAAAGAACTGAGAAAACCCAAACTATGCCCTAACTGACTAGATCTGGGCTTGGGAATTACTTATATGTCTACTTGTATGAACAACAGAGAACCAAGATGAATGGACGATATCGTTGTAGTCCCAAGTGTCCTTTACCTCCCAAGGGAGTACAATAATGGTGGCATGTTATTGTTTTATGTTGTATTTGTTTATGAATGCTTATGAGTCTTTCTTGTTTTAAGCATTTTTGTGGTAGAGAAAAATAAATAGCTATCCTATACCTGATACCTATTAGATACATATAGTACCTTTTCTAAAAGTTTCTATGAACTTCTTTTAGGAAAGACCCTACCTATGAGCCATAGCTAAACTTTATTTAGAGATTCTCCCCAGAACTCAGGTGGAGACAATAAGTCAGAGTATGACCTGTGTTAGAGGTCCTGCTTCCCTAGGATTGAAAGCAGTCCTCTTGGGCTCCTTGTGGGAAGGGGTGCCTCCTGGGTTAGAAGTGACATGCAAATATGTTCATAAGTATATTTTTACCTTGCTTCCAAAACTTTCATGATTTTTAAGGATTGCACTTTTATGAAGGTGCCTTACATGGAAATCTTTCCACTACAAATCTGGTCATCTTAATATTGATGATCTACAAAAGGAACTTTCTGAAATGTCTACTTGAGGCCAAGGACTGAAAAATGTTTGTGTTCTGGGTAGCAAAATATTAGAATATAAAGTACTTTCTAAATAAGAATTTAGGGAACTTTCAGCAATCCCTGGAGTTTGCATTTTGAAGCAAATAAAACATACCACATCTCTCATTCTATCAGCAGAATATATTTTAAACATTCACTCAGACTTTCAGAAGCCAAGATGATAGAGTAAGCAGGAAATCACCTGAACTCTCCCATATTCACCTCCAAAAAACTGTAAAATAAGCAACCCAAAATAAATTCTGTAATGGCAGAATCAGCAAAAAGATGGTAAAACAATCCTCTAGCCCAAGAACTTGAAAGGTGGCAGGAAAGATCTGTCTCACTCAGGTAAAAGGGGAGCCCAGTCCAGGAGGGAGGGAGAGAGAAAAATTTGGATCTCAAAATTTTGTAAAAATGAATGGTAAAAACTGTCTTTACGTAAAATTGGAAAAAAAAATACAATTTTAAAAAAAGTTTACTCATCAATGTCAAACAATATCATAAATGCAATAGGGTTCTCATACCTAATCAACAAAAGCCAATTTGATCCAAAATGTACTTGAAAGAATACTGAGAAAGGCTTTTCCACATGTCTTGGCCACACGTGCTCACTATGGTGTGTGAATTTGTGAGAGATTATGCCCCAGGTTTGCAGGGGAGAGGGGGGAAGTGCTTTTTTGCTACTTTTTTTTTTTACTATGCTATTTCATTAAATGTATTTGCTTCAGGGGTAAAGGGATAGCCTGCATCCCTGAAAGAAGACAAAAGTATAGTAGAGGAAAAATAATTTCTGAAGTACAAAATAAACATTTTCATTTCTTAACCATTTAAATTCATAAGAAAATAAACAAAAACATCTCTACCTTTTTTTCCCCAACAAGGAAAGGGCCAAGCAGCAGAAGAATGTTTCCTTAGAAAGAGCTGAAAGTCAGTCAGTAAATGACTAAAGCTTCTTTAAAATGCTCTGGCTGGTGCTTTTAGAACGTCTGGAAGCCAGCAACATCAGTTCAGTTACTAGCAAGCTTCTTTGATCCTCTTGGGATGATTGTAGCTGAAGAAGCCAGTCAGCTGTTTGGACAATGTGGTCTGACTACAGGTGTCACAGAGAATTTCAGTTCATCTTTATTGAGAACACCATCTTGGAACAATCAGCTCCACCCCTGTTGCCTTATTTCAAATCAGTACCTTGAAAAGTCAGTTAGACAGTTGATTGGACCAGCAGCTTGAAGCCTGCATTCTCTAACAAAATAACTCTGGGCAGGGACAGGAGATCAGTGGGAGGGGAAGGAAGGCAGGAAGGAGGAGCTCTCTCTCTGGCCAAACTTCTGAAAACGTTATAGCTGCACCAAACTTCCTGGACCCAGTGTTCTAGAGAGTTATGACTTTAATTAACACACCGATTAAGCCCAGTCTTCTGGAGTGTAATCATATTTATTTTACTACAAGTAGTGAGGATAATAGAAGCTAAATATTTTTGTGAAATCCTAGGATGTAGATCTGGTAGGATTCTCAGAGTTCATCTAACACAAAGGAAAATCGAAAGAGAGCACTGACACAGAAAGGGATAGGGAATGCATCCCAGAGAAGTTGACACCTGAGTTAAGCCCTGAAAGAAGACGAAGGATTCTGAGAGGTACCGATGAAAAGACAGTGTATTCAAGGATGAGAAACAGTTTGTCCCAATTCATGGAGGTGGGAAATGGTTAAAAGTCCAGGTTAACAAGAACATTGAGTTTGGGGAAATGATAATAATAATATTTAAATGGCAAAAATATTACTTGCCCCTAAAAAAAAATGTTGAGTTTGAGTAGGGTTATAGTATGAAACAGTATGTTGGCAGCCAGATTGTGGGAATCTTAAATGCCACGTTAAGGAGCTCATATTTTATCCTGAGGAAATAGAAAACCACTGAAGATTTTTGAGCAGAGGAATCAGACTTGTGATTTAGGAAGATTACTCTAGCAGCTTTGTGAAAGATAGATTGGAACATGGAGGATCTAGCAATAGTAGACTAATTAGGTTATTGTAGTAATCTAGGAGAAAGGGAGGCAGATGAGAGCCAGAACAAAGGTCATGGCTTTATTAATGTAGAGAACGGGACTGAAGCTAGATATGTTGTAGAGGTGGAATTAACAAGGTTTGGCAGATAATTGCATATGGTGGGGCTGAGAAGAGGGAGGAGTCAATGATGATTTTGAGACAACAAAAGAGGGCACCTAAGAAGATGGCGGTGCTCTCAAGAGAAACAGAGGAATTTGGGGGAATGACCTACTTAGCTGGGGTCATGATGAATTCTGCTTCAGACGTGGTGAATTTGAGATGCTAATAGAACGTCCAGAAGAGGTATCTAGCACGCAGTGATGCATTTATTACTAAGAGACGAAGAGAGAAGCAGCAGAGAGGGTGAGAGATGGAGAGAGACAGAGAGAGACAGAGACAGGGATGACTGAGGAGTAATAAGAGGTGGATAGAGAAACAGTACATTGCAGTTCTGTGAAACTGAGAGAAGTGTCTTCTGAGAAACAGGAGAGAAAGGATGAAGGGGAAAAGAGCTTTTTCTTTTCATTTTTGAACAACTCGTTATGCTCCTGTTTCTGAAGCAGACTTCCTCTCTATTTCAACAAGCCTTGGATTCCCGGGTCGGACTGTCACAAGATGCGGCCGTTGACCCTCTCCCCCGCCCTTCCTCCCCCTTCCTCCCCCCCTTCTTCCCCTCTTCTTCCCCGCTTCCTCCCCCCACCCCTTCCCACAGTGCTGGGGGACGCCGCCCTGCCCCCTCAGAACCTCCTTCTGATCTAGGGGAAGCCTGCTCGTGGCATGGTGTGGAAGGAAGCTAGAGAGTTTCTTTCTGGAGCCAAAAATTCCTGAGAAAGATCGCTCCATGTCTCTTGTGTCCCTGTCGTCCCTGTTGTGCATCTGTTTTTTAATGTTGTAAAGAGCATTTTGTGGAGGAAAAGAATTAAAAGTTATCTCCCTCTTGGGAGAGGAGAATAGAAGTTGATCCAGGACTTTGAGGTTTGCAGAGCACTTTAGTCACCAACGAATTAACGAACTGAAGTGCTGAGGACACAATAAGCATATGTGTTTTATGGTAGATAGAAAGCTGGCCTTGGAAGGGAGATCTGGGTACAAATCTTCAACATGTGTGTAACCCTAGGCAAGTCACTTAACCCTTTAGTGTTCTAGGCAACTCTCAAAGACAGAGGTTCTTCATTTTTTGTGGGTGGGTGTGTTATGCACACCTTTGACAATCTGGTAACGCCTATGGGCTTTTGGTGCCAAGATGGCAAAGTGAGGAAGAAACTCCCTACAGCTCTCCCAAATTCCCCTCCAAGCAACTTTTAAAAATGCTTCAGAAGCAATTTAGGAGCGGGGAAAGCAACTTAATAGCTCAGCAGGAAAGGTCTGTCTCGCTAGGGTGGGAGGGAAGCACAGTCAATGAGCAGTAGCAGGTCACAACCCAGAGGGACTAAGCAAACCACCTACCCCTACAGTTCTGAGGCATATTGCAATGAAATGAGACCCCCCCCCCCAACCCCTGCCTAGGGCAAAGCAACAGTGAGACTCTACCCTCAGGATAACCCATCAGGGAGGCCCTGCACCCAGTATAAGCCATCAGCCCTCCCCCCACCCCCACCCCCAGCCAGTAGCTAGGCCCTGAGGCCCAGTGAAAGCCAATGAAAGCCCTGGCATAAGACACTTGAGACAGTGCAGGAGGAGTGCTTGAGATGCATAATTGTGAGAAAACTCCTTGCAACAGTTTTCAGAGCTGACTGAGTTTCTGGTCAGCATAACTTAGGTCCTTAGTTAAGGGCCTCTAAACAGCAGGTTGGGACAGCTAAATGGCACAGTGATTAGAGCGCTGAGCCTGGAGTCAGGAAGACTCATCTTTCTGAGTTAAAATCTGGCCTCAGATACTTAGCTGTGTGACCCTGGGCAAATCACTTACCCCTTTTTGCTTCAGTTTCCTGACCTGTAAAATAAACTGGAGAAGGAAATGGCAAACTACTCCAGTATCTTTGCCAAGACAACTCCAAATGGGGTCACAAAGGGTCAGATATGACTGAAAAGTGACTTCACAACAAGAAGCAGCAAGTAGAGGTGGTCCAGCTTCCCAGCCATGTTCAAACAATGCAACAAAGTCCTCTCACAATTCCCACAACTAAATAGGTTTATCACAAGGCAGAAATTGTACTAGACGATAATTGAATGGAAAGGGAACTGAGCTTGCTCCAGAATTGAGTTGCAAGATAGAGTCAGTGTGATTCACCCAATTCCCAATAGCACTTCCTGTTTTAATTCCCTCATATGTATGGATTAATGGTCCCATTTCTATTTGAGTTTGACACCTGACATATTCCATCTGTCTCCCATCTTCTCAACAGAAGTTTGTGAAATACTTCACTGTAAAAAAATAGAGACCATTCATCCTTGATGGAATCCTAATAAAGCTGCCCCCAACCTCAAAAGTCTAATTTCCTTATGGGCGGCATTGAACAGTAGGCATGTCCTGATTTAACCACATCACAAGCTCCCAAACTCAATCATAGGCCTCCCTGACCTGCATGCCCACTGCCCCAGAGAGCCACTGCCCCCAGACTCAAAATAGCCACTGCCACTAGCTAGCCACTGCCCCCAGATCCAATTCACATATTTGAACAGATGTGAGCTTGTACTCAACTACAATCACATCATCCATTTAGCCCAAGACAGGACCACGATACCTAACTATCCATCTTGACCAGACAGGACCACAATAGCTAGCCAATCAGAAAGCATAACACTATGAAGATGTTTGACCACTGAACCATAGAAGGGACCCCTCCTCTATTATCTAATCCCTTAACAAACCCTACCTGCCTTTTTAATATCCATAATTTCTGTTGTGTAATCAACATCATTACATTATAAATTTGCCTGTGCTATCTTACTAAGTTGCTGGTTCCTCTTGGAACTTAGCTTGCTTCACGAGAGGTATCAATCTCAATAAATGCCTATACTTGGATTAGAGGTGATCTGACTCTGAACTCTTTGAGATGGCTCTGCCACAACATATCATGAAACCGCAGCAGTTTTTGGTGTCCCTGGGTGGGCAGTCTCTGACCTCTGACCCTCCCTCCACATGGAGCAGAGTCTCTGATTCGGACCCCCTCTAATCCAAAGGTAAGTCTATCTTTTTCCCTTCTCTTAGCTGGGAAATCCTTCAAGCACCTAGGAAGGCTTGACTGGATCATCTGGGCCCTAGCAGCTTGGCAAATTCCCTCAAGACAGAGGACACTCTGTTTGGGAATTTCAAAGGGAGTTTTTTTTAAACTTTTTTTTCCCTCATCCTTCTGGAGGGACACCACTGAAGAGGTGAACGTGGTGATAGGGGGGATTTCCTTAGACTTACTGGCATTTAGTCCCAGCTCCCATCACACAGGACTACTAAACTGTAATAGAGCCTGGCCTCAATATAATCTAGAGGACCAAGAAGTGAAGTTTCACTATCTGTGCTTTCTATTTGTGTTCGTCTGCTCTGTGCCTGTGTGAAGATCTCTAAGTCTGCTACCTTGGAAGATTTTAAATGCAGCCAGCCAGAAAAGAAAAACTTCTGACGGCTGTGCCTGAACTGGAAAAATTGATGGTCTCTTAATGAAAGATTGTTTGCAAAAAAAAAAAATATCTCTCTCTCTCTCTCTCTCTCTCTCTCTCTCTCTCTCTCTCTCTCTCTCTCTCTCTCTCTCTCTCTCTCTCTTTCTCCCTCTCCCTCTCCCTCTTTCTCTCCTTCCTTGGACTCTGGCCAAGTTCTGGAGGTGGAGGAACAGATGGGAAAAAAAAGAGGAAAAAAGGAAGAAATTACTCCCTTCAGATCTATCTAAAAGAAAAAGGATCACTTCACTGATCAAAGAGAGGCAGGTTTCAAGGCTGCACATTGGAATAGGACTAGCACTTAACCCTTTCCTGGGTCACAGAAAGAGAAAAGGTTTGTGTGAATGGGGACACAACCAAAGGTAATTGAGTATCATTTGGAATTGGTAATTGAATTCATTCTGGTTACATTTTAAGGGAAATATTATCTCTCCTAATTTGATGTTTAAGATAAGCTAGAATTTATTATATTATTTGGCACTAAGAAAAATTGGGAAAATGCGTAGATCTGAAAAAGAGATACCTCAGAGATGAAACTTTGAGCTCGGCAGTGTGGAGGAGAGGGGACTAGGTACTAGTAGATCTTTTC